ACTTTTGAAAATTTTTCCCTTTTTTTTTTTTTTTTTTTGCAAAATTTGCAAATTCTCTTTTTATTTAAGTTTTTCGCCCTTTTTTTTTTTTTTTTTTATCGAAATGCTTTTTTTTTTTTTTTTTTAAGGTTAGTTGGGGGCTCGCCCTTAAAAAAAAAAAAAATAAAACGAAATGAAATGGAAAAAAAAAAGAAATTTTTTTTTTTTTTTGTTTTGTGTCGTCCCCTTTGTTCGTATAATAAACATTCGTTCGTTTGAGGAATTTCGATGCAAATCGTTTTTATTTCTCTATTGACACGTCAATGTGCAAAAAAAAAAAAAAAAAAAAAATTTTTTTTTTTTTTTTTTTATTGCATTTCTAGAACAATTTATTAAAGTCACGTTTTTAGAAAATCCTTACTGTCGCATTAACGAAAATAAGTATTAAACAATAAAAAAAAAATTAATAAAATTTCCAATTGGGAATTTTCCTCCCTCTCTCTCTCTCTCTCTCTCTCTCTCTCTCTCTCTCTCCCTCTCTCCCCTCCCACTTAATTTTCATTCATAAAATTTTTTTTGTTGCAAATAATCCATAAATGGGGGAGGGAGAGGGAGGGGAAAAATCAGGGGGCGTATATCTGAACAAATAAGAAATTTTGATTATTTTTTATTATATGTCACATAAAACCGTTTTTTTTTTTTTTAATTATTATTATTATTATTATTATTATTATTATATTTTCGAGAATGTAATAATAATAACGTTAATAAATAAATAAATTAAAAAAAACGCAAAGATGAAAAGTTTTTCATTTCTTTCATTTTTTTTTTTTTTTAGCTAGCGGAAGAAGGTTCTCAAACGCAAATAATAAAATCAACTTTGATACATTCGAGTTCGAGACTTCATTGGAATCGGTTACACTTTGGTTGGTACGATCGGGGCAAAAGCGGTTCATCTCGCGATCGATCCTCGTTTACGATTTCAGGTACCAACACAAATCGGATTTTTTTAAAATTATTATTATTATTATTATTATTATCAAAATAATCGAACGTGTGATAAAAAATTAAAAATTTCTCTACGTTAAAAAAACCTTATTAATATTATTAGGAAAATCGTTTTTATCACACACGCACACGTTCGTTTATTTAATTATTATTATTATTATTATTATTATTATTCGTAAAGATTTTCAAAAGTTTGAAAAAAATTTAAAAGCAAAAAACAAAAGCAAAAAAAAAAAAAAAAAAAACGAAAATTATTTACTTCGACGGTACTGGAGAAGAAGACACATTTTGATCCGTAAGATTTTTTTTCATTTATTTATTTTATTTTAATTATTATTATTAATATTATTATTATTATTATTATTATTATTATTATTATTATTATTATTATTATTATTATTATTATTATTATTATTATTAATTATTAATTATTATTATTATTATTATTATTATTATTATTATTTACGTTACGACACTCTTGAAAAAAAAATTAATTACCCGTTATAAATAATAATAATGATAATAATGATAATTTCTAAAAAAAATTCGTTATAAATTTTTTTTTTTTTTTTTTTTTAAGAAATTTATTCTCGAAATAATTAATTACGGTTTTAGTATAAATATACTCGCGGGGGGGACGGTAGAGAGGGTAGGGAGAGAAGGAGAGAGGGGTAAATAATTACACACCTAAAACTTTTATACTTATAATAATAAATAAATTAAAATAAATTTCAAATCAATTAATAAAAAAAAGGTTGGAAAGAGGGAGGGGGCGAGGAGGAAAAGGGGGTGAAGGGGAGGGGAGGGGACAAGGTAATTAAATGTTTGTATGTATATAAAAAAAAACCTATTAATTTTTTTTTTTTTTATGTATGTATGTATGTATGTATGTATTTTTTTTTTTTTTTTTTTTTAGTTAACGAGGCAATGATTCTTATTTAAATTTTTTAACACTTAATAAAAACTTGTTAGAACGTCCGATCGTTAATAATAATAATAATAATAATAATAATCTTATAAATTAATTTCTTTTTCGGCGACGACGATGATGATAATAATAATAATAATAATTATGCATGCGTTTTTATAAACTTATCTATATATATTTTTCATCACGTTTTATTAATTTTTTTTTTTATATATAAAAAATGAGACGAGTCGGGTTGAAATTTTTTAATAAAAATCGATATTGGCGATGGTGTGTGCGTGCGCGTCCGCGTAACGGTCAAAAATTATAAGTTTCGTATATGAAAAATTATACTTAAAAAATATATATATATAAATAACTCGCGTTAAATGTCGACAGGTATATTTTTTAAAGAAAAGGTTAAAATTATATTTAAAATTTTCACGTTTTTCCTTTACTTTTTTTTTTTATTATAATAATTTTTCCAGATTTTCTCTCTCTCTCTCTCTCTCTCTCACACACACACACACACACAATCCCTCGGGGATTTATTTGTGATTATTATTAATATTTTTTTCGTTGGAAAATAATGATTACGATTATAATATATACCTGTTGTTGTTGTTGTTGTATTTAAAAAAAAAAAAAAGTTATCATTATCATTTATATATATATATATATATATATATATATATATATATATATATATATATATATATATATATATATATATATAACGTAAATTATATATATATATATAAATTATAATAATAATAATAATGCGGTTTAATTTTTTTTTCATCGCATCGAATTCGCGTTATAAATGACAATAATAATGATAATAATTTTCTTTAAAAAAAAAAAAATTTGTATAACCTGTTTTTTCATACGCGACCGATATAAGTATCAATAATTTTTTTTAATGGGGAGGTAGCGAGGGGGTAGGGGGTTCGTCATTTAAAAAAATTATATATATATATATATATATATATATATATATATATAAATTGAAACCATTAATTAAATTACGCGAGTTTTTCGTTATTAAAAAAAAAAAAATAATAATAATGATAATGGTTAATAATTATACTAATTTTTTATTTTGTATATTTTTAATAATAATAATAATAATAATCGTATAAATTGAAAATCCATATACGATGCCGCTAGGTAGAGTTAATGATAAATATTATAATAAATGATATCGAAATAAAAAAAAAAAAAAATTTGATTGGTCGATGGAAAATTTAACGAAAAAAAACGTATGTTCGTATATTTAACTTACGACCCCCCACCTCTTTTTATTTTTTTTTTATACTCTTGTTTTTTATACGGGAAAATGAGTAATATATACCACGCCGTAACAAAAAAATTTTCTTTTTTTTTTCCCCGAC